TAGTGTGCTGCGGCACAGTGGTTGAAAAACACTGTTTTAAGGAAGACAAATTTAATCTTAAACTGTGCTAAGACAATTTGTTACAAAAAAATCTGTCAACATAGGAATTAAGAAATGGAAATAATTTCCTAAGAACATCAGAGATTTAAATGGCACACTTGGAAGTAATTACATAATAAAATAAACTCAGTAATTTCCATTTACATGATTTGTTGTTTTTCTTTTTCTTTCTACCAAAAATTGGATTATAAAAGTCTTCAGTCTGGTGCATTGACATCAACTAGCCCTTTTTTTGAAGGACAATTTTGTTTACGGAGACTTCATAATTAACTTATTTGTTGTATCTGTTGTTGTTCGTTTATTTTGGATAATTAAAATGTTTTTCAACTCCAGTGTTAAATGTTAATCAGATATGACAGTTTATTGATCTTTGAGAATGAAAAGATCTCAAAGATCTTGCATTATTATGCCATTAGCATTATTTGACTTGAAAATGGTCTCAAAACGACCTTTATTGTAATAACTTCTAGGACAATTTACTGTCCAGCAAAATTTGTTATTGTGAAAGGCCTACTATAGTAATCTTCTATTTCATAACAAATAAATAACTCTGGTCTAAATATCTGAGGTTCAGATGGATCACACCTTTAATGTGACTGAAGGGACATATGAGCAGTGTTTTTCTTGTTTTGTTTTGGGGTTTTTTAGCAAGCTTTTAATTTATCTCTGACAATGTACAGTCCCCACAATGTATAAAGAGCAGCCTGTAAAGCTAAGTCAAATATTCCTAGGAGACAATGAAGGCTGGTCACAGGAACAGCTTAGATTGGAACAAATATTAGCTAATTATAGAAGTACAATGCATTCAGTCTCTCAGCTAGTCATTTGTTTGATGTGGCCTGATTTTCTAATGAAACAAAGTGTTTCAGGAGCCAATAACATGTTCTGGTAAAGATGTAAATAAATTACAGATTAGCTGTTTCTCTTCTGAAGCAGCAGAGGTAGCCAGGTGAAACTTTTTCAATGAAATTGTGTTACTAAGATAGAAATGGTGATGTTCAGTTGTTCACAGTAGCTAGATAGACTGCTTCTTGTCTGGGATTCAAGTTTCCAATGAATCCAAGGCAGAAACACTTTAATATTGTTCAGCTCACTATGTGTTTATTGCACATCACATTGTCCTTCCAACAGTTTACATGTTTTCCTAATATTGTGCATCACCAAAGAAAATAAATGGTTTGTTGTGTGGGTTTCTCCTGCTCCCTCCGCCAGCGCTCAGTCTATGCTGTGCCGGTTAAACCTGCTGATCCTTTATTTTGTTTTTCCAACAGGAAATCCAAAGAAGCACATTGCTGCTCTGAAGAAAGCAGTTGACAGCTCATGTGTCGGAGAGCCTTCGCTGTACAACTCTCTCAGCCTGGCTATACAGACCCTCAAGTGGGTTCACCACAGATGCTGTTCCACAGAGGCTTTTTGAGTGAAACAGCAACACTTAGATTCTCTCTCTCTAAAGGCACATGCCTGGACACACCAGCAGAGAAATCCTCATCATCCTCAGCAGCCTGACCACATGTGACCCAGCTAACATCTATGAGCTAATCAAGGTGAAGACATGTTTAATCACAGGCTTCTAATCCCAGGCTGGTAATTAGAAGAGTTATTCAGATAACTCTTCTAATGTGCACAGGCACATAACTGTCTAAGCACAACACCCTGAGGCAATCCTGTGTTGATGGACTTACTCTCTGAAAGGGTATAGTCGACTCTGGTACAGTATACTGGCCAGTGAAAAAAGTTCAGTTGATTGTGAGAAAAAATGAAGCTAACAGTATACCTCAATTTGGGATACGTGCAGACGAGGCTGAAATCATTAAAAAAAATCAGTAAAGTCAGTGTTCATAATGTTATAATGTAGTTCCATTTGTCAAGAAGGCATTCATTGTTGTAAGGAAAGTGTTTTTTTTTTTGATGATATATCTGACTATTTCACAGTGATGGAAATGAAACCACCTTAAAAGCATATTTTGTTTGATTTGACTGTTTAAAGTAATTTAAGAACTGGCTCTTAACTTGTGCTGAGGTTCACATACTGTTTTATCATCACTTTCTTTTGCTAAACTGTTTTATCTGAACAAAACTTTTTTGTTTTGTAATGTTCTCTGTTTCTCCAACTTGTTTGGCAGCAAGGAGCACAAATTGCATGTTTTCCTTTGCTTTCAGACTCTGAAGTCTCTTAAGGTGCGAGTGTCAGTAATTGGGCTCTCAGCGGAAGTCCGAGTGTGCACGGTTCTGACCAGAGAGACGGGTGGATCCTACCATGTTATCCTAGATGAAAGTCACTTCAAAGAGCTGCTCATGTATCATGTCAAGCCTCCGCCAGCAAGCTTCTCATCGGAAAGCTCTTTAATACGAATGGGTCAGTATTAAAATGTTTGACATTCATATTCTCCAAGATAACCAGAATTGCAACATATGATGATAAAAGCTGAGTTTCCTCTCCCGAAAGAGATGTTTGGGTTCTTGAAATGTTGCCGTTTCCTTCAGGTTATGTCACAGATTAAAAGTATTCCGGCAGTGGATGGGGAATCAGGGTTTCCCCCAGAAAACTTGCCAAGCCCGGTGTTTGGGGCGCCAAGGTGGTCCACCTGTGGTCCACTGGGGTTTTATGTTAAAAGCTGTTAAGTTGACAAGAAATGCAAAAATATTACTGGTTAGCTAACTATATGTTACAGGAAGACATAGCCAGTGACATGCTATTTAAACCCACAACTATAGAATCTTAAGAACAACAAATAAAAAATAAAAAAAAAACATTTAAAGTGAATATCAATTATTTGCACTTCTGTTTAATCCAAATTAAGTCAGCAGCTCTGTAAGACCCCCCCCAGGCCTTCAGGGGCCCCATAAACACTAATATTTTAACACAGAACACAGATGGACAAATTTGTTTATTGAGAATATCAATTCTACTAAATTTGATTTAATGGTTTTAGCATACATAAATTAAAAGATTT